TAAAATCTCGATGACTTCTTTGAGGATGGGTAGCAAACCGCCGTGGTGAATTCCAATACCGCGTTTGAGTAAAGGCAGCAAATGTTCAATCTGAGGCAACTTTCGGTCTTCCTCGGATAAGCTTGCAATAGCATTTGTGTATACGTTTTGGACCATCTCTTGCTCCTCTTCCGAGTTGCATTCCAGTTTGGACATTTGGAGAGCGAGAGCCTCGCATTCACGTTTGCTAAACGCGAACACGATGACCGGGTTGAAATTTTTGGCGATAATCATCTTGACAATTTTGTAAATGTCCGAGGGGCCTGTACGGATGAGCCACGAGTCGATAAAACAAGAGGCCGTACACACCTTTGGTTCCTCCGCCCTTTTTAGTCTTTCCCTTTTTATTACGCCCACCCAATGGATCTGCCGGGTCATCCCCTTGCATCGAGGCTAATTTGCCCATCGCTTTCTGGAAATTGTCCTCTCGGAATTCGCTCTTTTCGTTGACCACGAGATAAATACCATCTCCTCCGGCGGGAAAGAGGTAGTGTTGGAGAGGAGTCGGGCGGAAGTTGGTGTATACGACATGGCAGGGTTGTTCGTGAATTTTAGAAATCCAGTGAGCAAATTCCATGGCGTTGGGAATCGTAGCTGATAGGAAAACATAGCGAACGGTATGAGGGAGGAGAATGATCGTTTCCTCCCAGACAACACCACGCTCTATTGACTAATCAGGTGGATGAAATACGGATAACTTTTAACGTCAACTCACCGGCATCCCGCATGTAATGAATTTCGTCAAAGATAACCCAAGCGACTTCACGCATGATCTCCGAGCCCCTATATAACATAGAACGGAGAATCTAGCCTCGTGGCATGAGTACGAGAATTAAGAGTTTAAACAAGGCCCACCTCGGTAGTCATAACTAAACATGACGCAGTTGGGTTAATAGTAACATCGCCAGTCATTAGTCCAACGTCCCCAAACTCGGCCAGCATTTCTCGATATTTTTGGTTACTGAGCGCCTGTGAGACAATGTCATCTCCTGGATAAATGCCTTATACTGAACTTACCTTGATAGGACTAGTGTAGATCACTCGCTGCTTGTCCCGCAAACATTTTGCAATTGCGTACTCGGCAACAACAGTCTTTCCAGCACTAGTG